AGATGTGTGTGGGGGGGGTGTATGTATGTATGTATGTATGTATTGTTTTTAATCAGGGATGAAGTTGTTCGTTGAGACCTCGCTGCTAAATATTTGGAGCTTTATTCATCATATATCCATGGACCTATGTCCAAGATATATCTGTGACCGTTCTTGCATTGAGCACTCAACGTTCTCGCGTGAGCAGATGACTTTTAGTGACGTCACTTCGTTCTAAGCCCGCATGCCGTCCTCGTGCAATCGAAAGCTCCCTAAACTGCCAACCCCGTCAGCAATTTTGTAAGGAAGAATGCCATCAAGTAACTCCTTCTTGCCCGTGCTAGCATGACAAACTGACGTTAAATGTGTATGATAATCGTTTAATAAGAAATTTTATCATTCATCCAAGAGTAGATGTATTTGTTTACCGTTCTAAAAAGTCATCAAACGAATGCATGACAATGCAAAGTTAACAGTTGCGTATCTAACACTTTTTAAATCGGGGAACTGATGGGGGCTAAATGGGGGAACTGATGGGGGAACAAATAAGGTTTGGGGCCTCAATGATAAAGTGAGGAGGCGCTTCCTCGCAAATAGGGTGATAGGCGATCGTTTTTTCTACTTGAGCGTGATTTGAACATTTTCAATAGGTGGGGACACACGTTTTTTGTTGTTTTTTTTTTACGAGTGGGGCCTTCTGGGTACTCCTACATACGCCACTGGAAATGAATCAATGAAAATGTTAATATTATTTGTTTGAAAGTTTTATAACACCATGTTACTAATATAAAAACCCAATACGGTAACTGTTGGCATTGGATGTGTGTTATCATAGCGCTGTGAAAAACTGCAATTACTGTACATAGAATGCATGTTATAATTTCAAGAGATTTCATATTTTAAAAGACCTGCTTAAATTGCAATTTGCTTATCAAGCCACCGTTACACACATAATGGTAATGAACCATCCAATATAATTATACGATACGTAGACACGCAAGTGATACTGAAATCATAGTGTACAATCAAGGAAAGTCCTTGGTACAATGTTGTACTGTATTTTAGTACCAGAGGCAATATGTCAGCGCAAGAGTCCAGGATTTATTAGTAATAATTATTGTTGACAACACCACAGGATACAGACAAAATTTGGATCCAGGTGGTTAAAAAATAGGTTAAACATATATTTATATATAGATACAATTTTGAATATACTAGTGTTGTATACAGTCATCAAACGTACAATAATATAGAAAATATATGTTAAAAATAAACGTAAAAAGTAATGTACATGTAATTGATTTTTTACAGGAATTGTTTGTGTAAATAAAACGAGTCCTGTAGAAACTCGGTTATTGCGAAGAGAATTTTTAGCTCCAAAAGAGCCCATTCTTATTGCTGTACGGCCTGATTGAGGGCGTAATCTGATTGGTTGATGTAGTACCAGTTTGATGAGAAGTCTGCGATACACTTTAACAGTGTGTGTGTTGGTGGGGTGGGGGGTGCCCAGTGACCTCCTTTCTAGCCCACGGACTGACTGCTCTGTGAGCCTCCTCAGACTAATAGTACAACGCCCACCTTGATAGCGAGCTCGTATGTTTGTGTCTACAGAAGCATAAATTTCACTGAGAAGCTTACAATATAGTAACGTTATATAAATAGTTACTGATCTTAAGGTTTCTCACTAATGATCCCCTCAGATTAAATATCACTTCCACTTCCTCGATAGACGCCCTTTTTATCATTATCTAAATAGAGACCAAGGCTGCTAAAGTCCATTGAATACGCGACCCTCTAAAATGAACTTTAAATTGGACAGAGAGTGTATATTGAAAACTGTAATGAATTTGTGACTTCATTATCTAAGTGACAAACCTTGCATAAACTTATTATTTTAATGGTATTGTAATTATTGGGCGTCAATGTAGCTATATGCCACGATTGTTCCAATTTTGTGTACTCATTCAAATCCGAACCAATTCGGTCACGGTCCATTCTGGGAAGAAAATTACTTCGGCATTGTGTGGTAGGGTGGCCAGTTCCTTTCCATGCCGCCTTTTTCCTCCCCAGTATTGAACAGGCTACCCATATATATTCAAGCGAAATGCACAGCGAAGGTTCAAACCCCCTACCTCGACCAACCGCTCCCATTATACGTATAATAAAAATTATAAATAATAAACAGATTAATAATAATAATAATATTAATATTAATAATAATAATAATAATAATAATAATAATAATATTAATATTAATAATAATAATAATAATAATAATAATAATAATAATAATCATAATCATAATCATAATCATAATCATAATCATAATCATAATCATCATCATCATCATCATCATCATCATCATCATCATCATCATCATCAAATAAGCGCCTCCCC